CCGGGCCGGCCCCCCCGAGCCTGCCGGCTGCCAGGTGAGCTCCCAAAGGCTCCTCGGCAGGCTGCCCACTGGCCTGAGGATCCCACAACTCCGTCCCCTCGGGCGGCTGCTCGCGACAGGCAGGAGGAACAGAATGAAAAGAAACAAAAGAAAAGAAGGGAGGAAGAATGGGGAAGAGAAGGGAGAGGTGGAGGGAAGGGGCGGGGAGAAGAGTGGCAAAGGGAGTCGAGAAAATAAGACATGCAAAAGCAAAAACATGACCGGAGCAGCTCGAGTTTGTGATTGTGGAGGGCACTCGCGCAGCGCCATCCCGGCGGCTCCCCAGAGCGGTCCCTGCGGTGACCCCGTGGGTCTGCATCCTCCCGGCCACGGCCACGCGCACACACGCACCCCCCAGCAATGGAGCTGGGCTCCTCCCCGGCACCGGGCACGTCCTGAGGCCGCGCTGCCCCGCGGAACACGGCCAGCCCCACGCAGGGCCGGCGGCTGCTGTTCGGAGCGGGGAGGCGCAGCCAGGCCGAGGCGACGCCACCAGCTGCCCTCCTGCAAGTGAAACGTTCCGAGGCCGACGCGGATCTTTGCGGGGCGACTGCGAGGAAGCAAGCTGTGCTGGGGGGCACCCTGCTGCCAAACCCTTGCTCAGAGGAGCACATCACAGCCCCTCTGCAGCCCCAGGTCGGAAACTGCTCCCATGCTGTGGGAGTTTTGTGTTTTGCTTTTCCCACTGCCCTCGTGAAGGGATGTCGAATGCGGCATTTCTTGGATGCTGCAGGCAGAGAGCAGATCTTACTGGGAGCAAGTTCCCAGGAACGAGTCAGAGGCGCTTTGAAGACGCTGCCCTCTCCCTAAGGAAGCGCTGCCAGCCAGTGGCCAGCGAGAGCCAGGGCTGTCCCTGGCTCCCCGTGCTCGGCCTACAGCAGCAAGGGGCACCGCTGGGCCGACCCATGGGCGAGGGAGGACAGGGTGCTGCACCCTCGGCTCCAGCCCCGTTTGCAGGCACTCTGCTCCCCGAGGAGGGTCAAGGCAAGAGGACGAGGGTCTGTGTGAGACCGCTGGGGAAACGCGTGGGGTTTACTCTTGATGGCAGCAGTCCCAAAGCCGTGTTTCCTGCATCAGGGTAGGACAGGCCACGGCACCGGAGAAGGGCCGGGCAGCCCAGCGACCCAGGCAGGGAGCTGCCCGCACAGCTCTGCCCATCTCCCTGCCCCGGGCTGCTCCCAGCTCAGCCCCACGTGCCCTGCCCAGTTCCCAGGGCAAAGCCAGCCCCAGGAATCCCCCCTGCAGCCCAGGCAGCCCCCTCATTTGTCCCGTGTCCTGGTCCCACTGATGAAAACACCGCAAACAGAGCAGCAAGTTCTTCCCATGGGGACGCGGCACGGGGGACACTGTCCTTAGCGCAAGGTGGCTCAGCCTGTACCGTGCCCACAGCCACCGGCCAGTGCTAAACCCTGCAGCTTGCCGGCTGAAGCCCAGGCCTGGCAGTTCCCCACTGTGCTACAGCCTCCTGTGGCTGTTTCCTCCTGCTTCTGCCAGGCCACCTGGCCCG